CCTACTTTTTGTTAAATGTTTAGCTTTTTTATATTAAATAACAATGAGTTGTTACTATTTATCCCAGAATCCAATAAGAACATTCAAAAAAATCTCGAAAATTTCGTATTATGGATTAATTATTGTGTCGTAGCTAATATAACAAAACATTATTGTTTAACTAAGAATTGTAATAAAACAGTTATTACATTTTGATAGATAAATCACGTCCTACTCAACTAAGCAAATTACAAATCCGTCACCTATTTTAATTGGACGTCGAATTTTTTTTTTTTAATAATTGGAACTTTTACATTCGCACATAATTCGAAGTGATTGATTGCACAATAATTGCCATAGAAAAAAATGATGTTTTTGGGAATTTTGGTTATGAAAGGGCTAACGATGGTGCAATCGTTATGAAATTTTCATTATATGGAGATTAAACGTTTTATCCGTTTCTGCTTTTGAAATTAGGATCGTTGGTCAAATAGTTGCCTTTATTTCAGTTACATATTTTGGAAAATATTGTTCTATTTTTAGAGCTGTAAAATAATTGATTAGTAAAAGAAATTAGTAATATATTTAAAAAAACGTGTTCCCTCGTGATCCTCGAATTGTTGACACTAATAGTCAAAATATTGTAAATGAGCAAGAAAAAGAAAAGAATGGCAGCTGTATATAATCAGAGTTGTATGAGGATGACAGGAATAATATATCGAATTGTACCAAAACTGTACTGACAACCCAGAAATTATGAAATGCGAAGTATAACATGCTATAAATAATGCATAAAATTAGAAAGCTTATGGTCCAGATGACACACCAACTGAGTTGCTGAAACTAATAGAGAATGATAACATTAAAGTAGGAGTAAGACTTTTTATTTCAATATTTTAACAACGGAGTGACTCCCTCAGATTAGCTCAAAACCATCTTTAGTCAGACAGGTTGCATTTTGTCGCCAACATTGTTCAATGTTTTACTCGGACAGCTATTTAAAAATGCACTTGAGGGACAACCATTGGAATAAAAATCAACGGGGAACTACTTAATGTGATTAGATATGCGAGATACAGTAATTCTATCAGATAATATTGAAGGTCTTCAAATTCTGCTTGATCGTATTCACGAGGTAGGAGAGGAAATGGGTATTAAAATAAACTCAAAAAAAAAAAAAAACAAATTTTTAGTGTTTAGTCGTGACCCACAATCCCGATGCAAAGCTTCATTGAACGGAGTCCAAGTTGAGAAAGTTCACAAAATGACATATTGGGAACTGTGATAACGGACCAACTAGATCCAGACATAGATATAAATACATAGAATAGCAATTACTAAAAACTACTTTATGAAAATGAAGTCATTTCTTTGCAATAACCATCTCAGTTTAGAACAATAAGGCAAAGAATGATTAAGTGTTAGGTTTGGTCTTGTACTTTTGTATATACAGAAGTGTGGACGCTAAAGTGGTCGATCATAAACAAAATTGAAGCATTGGAAATGTGGGTTCATAGACGAATGCTGAAGATACCTTGGACAACAAGAAAAACTAATGAAGATGTACTAAGGAGCATCAACAAGACAGAGAACTGCTAAAGACTGTTATAAACATCGAACAATGCGTTATTTGGGACATAAGTAAGGGGAAGTCGATATAAATTAAAGAAAAACATTCGTTGAATGGACTCAGATACCAAATGCTGAACAATTTATTCACATTGCAGAAGATCGAGAAGAGCCTAGCAATGGTGATCTCCAACGTCGGATAGTTTCTGATATGGCAAAGCGAAGAAGAAGATAACCTTTTACCACAGACGTTAACTTTCTATAATATAACATCTGATGTTAGTGCAAGGTAGACCCTTTGTAATTTCTATTTGGTATTGCGATTCATTTTTTTAAAAAGTATGAAAAAAATTATGTTAAATATAATAAATTCTGTGGTACCGTCTACCATTAATGTTATACATTTTTTAACCTATAAGGCTACGAATCACTACACCATGTCGCACTAACATAGATTTATCATGTATGGTAAGCGGACGCTTAGCATTATGAGTTTGGTATGAAAACAGTAAACCTAAAAGAGGAAATACACCATTCACTTCGGATTGAACAATGTGGATGGAATTAACCAAAATAAACCATGTATTTTGCAATTCAATAAAAGCGTTTCAACCAAATTGAACGTTGAAATGAGTCGAAACAATTTCTACTTTAGTTCAACTTCGTTGTAAAACTGGGATGATTCATCCACATTGACGCGTCTATACAAGTTTTCTTGATTGTGTTCGATTCAACCGTTTATTTTCATTTTGACTTGTGATATAAAAAGTAGCTTTTGATAGAAGATGCGTTTATCTCATTAGGATCCAAACAATTTGAATTTTTTAACATTTTTATAACTTCGGATACTTCTTGTTCATTGGTTGGAGAAAGAAAAAATGAATTTGATGGAGCTTGAAATTTTTCATAGTTCTAAATTGTGTTGTCTGGTGTATTTGGAAGGGATTTTATGATATTCTCAGCAATTTCAACAAAAAAGTTATTGAAAGGGTCACAAGATATGTTGGTTGTTGAATTATGTAAAGCATTTGTTTTATTTCGCTCATAGTTAATTACCTTCCAACACGTCTTGGATCTATTCTTTGAAGTTAATAGCAATTGATAATATTCCAGCTTTCTCGTTCTTTTCAACTCAGCATTGTAATAATTTTATATCTTTTATATTCGCTGTAATGTACTGGGTTTTTAGTAAAATCAGTATAATATTTTATATGTTTGCAATTGATTTCTTATATTTTTAAGTTGTCATTGAACCATCATCCACATTGTTTCAACCGAATTGAATGAAGAATAAATTGAAGCGTGTATATGTATGCTTTTCAATTTGATTGAAAATGTAATTGAATCATCCACATTGTTCAAATGAATTGAATGGTGTTTTTCCGCCTTTATTTTTATCCTGTCATTTATTTACATTGTTTGGTCACCGAACACAACCGAAGGTGCACTCGACTCAGCGGTAATTGTTCGCGCATCTGGTTTGCGCATTGTCAGCGGCCATATTTTAGGTTCACAGTCACATCGTTGGACGATAATTTTGTGTTTATTGTTGCCAGATCTAGAGGTGGTTAATCCAAGTATTTTTATGGATCATGGCCAATCTGATAGATACGCGTAAACAAAAATACCTGTTAAAAAATACTGGTTTGGAAATCAGTTTGTTATCAGTCGTTTAATAGATATCTAAGCATAACGATAAACATTATTTGTATTTTGTTAGATTTCTTTAGAGTTATTAAAATGACTGTTTTACCTTCTAATACTTAAATTACTGATTATTCAGAGATTGCATAAAAAGTTCATAAAAAATGGCGATAGTTTTGCCTACTTCACGCCAATTGTCATCTGTTAATATTTATCTAAAGCTTTGTAAACGTTAAGAAATGCACGAAAAAAATTAAGGACAAAATGCAATGAAACAAATCAATTGTTATTTATTTTTCATGTATATTTGTTGAATAGTCCACTGATCGACAAGCTTATACAATTTCCTGACAAATATGAATAACAACAAATGAATACGCATAACATGATTATAATAAATTTTAGGAGTACTACATGAACAAGTAAAAAATAAATTATATATATATATATATATATATATATATATATATTAAATATATATATATATATATATACATATATATATATATATATATATAATATTATATATATATATATATATATATATAAGGATCACTCAGACGAGTGGTGGGTTCTTATAATCGGTCTCTAGGTGGAGAAATTAAAAGACAAAGTTGATAGGCCTACTTTATCTATCTTGAAGACGTTTCGCTTTTCGAGTTTTGAAAGCATCATCAGTTCATCTAAAAAAGTACAATATGAGAACCACACAATCATATATATATATATATAATATATATATAATATATATATATATATATTTATATATATATATAAATATGTATATATATATATTTATATATATATAATATATATATATAATATATATATATATATATATATATATATATAAATTCAGAGTTACCGCCAGCGATATCGCTCATGGAAGGAAAAACCGCCAAGGTAAAGGCCTAGAGCATCTAGCAAATTTAAATTGCGCATTTTCTATCCAGGCTTTTTCCCATCCTGTCCCACTTTGATTCATTATAAAATACTACAATAATATTAGGGCTTTTAGTTTCAACTTAATCGGATTTTTTGTTCATGTATCGTAGAAACCGAAAAAGAAAACTTGAATACTTAGGCCACCTGAAGATAGTACAAAAGTACACATTTCTACAAAATATAATGCAAAAAAAAATCCAAGGACGCAGAAATCTAGGCCGTAGAAGAATGTCCTGGATGAGAAATTAAGGGAGTGGTTTGACTGTAGCACTAACAAATTATTCAAAACAGCAGTAATAAAATTAGAATTCCCCTAATGATATCCAATCTCTGATAGGATGGGCAGTTAAGAAAAGAAGAAAAAAACCGAAAGTGCAGCTTTGTTTTGTTTGAAACATAAAACAGAATATGTACTATTTCGATATTTTTATCTTCAGTAGTTATTGTTATCTATGAATATGTATATTATGTAACTAAATGTTTTATGATCAAAGTCAATTTAAAAAAAAAATTGTATTTTAAAGGTTATATTTTAAAAGTAAGTAAGAAATCACCTACCGTTATTAAAAAAATATATTAATAGCAAATTAAAAAAAAAACTCTAAAGATAAATTGTAGAATTAAAACTTTTAACCAGCTTTCCAATAATTTATTTTTAATTTTATATTAATTATCTTTTAAAGTTTGTTGTAAAAGTGAATTGTCCAAAAAAGTCATTAAATTTTATTTTTCATTTTAATAAAGACAGTTCATATCCCAGTGATATCCTTCTAATTTAAAAGCAATAAATCCACTGCTCTGTAATAATTGAGTTTGTAACTATCTGCAGAAATTACATCTCCCAAACTTATAACGAAATAAAAATGGATTTATTACCATTTGCACTATCAATATTCAGCGCAGGGCATTACATGTACTGTGGAACATACCCGCAGCGGACAATGTTTTTTTATTATCAAGTAATATTGGAAAAGTTTTTAAATGTTTTGAAGGTATAGTTGAGAAAATTGTAATTACTTTTAGTAAATTTTGCATGTGCAGTGTAAATATAAATAGATAATATTGCTTTCAATTAAAATACTGAAAACAGTTTATAATTAAATTTTTATATTTTGCATTAAAATTATTTACATTAATCGGCAACAAAGTTTACAAGTAGTACGAAACATAAAAATAATATAAAAAGCTAAGGAAAATTATAAAATTTTAAATAGATTATGTATAGTGAATAGTTTTTATGTGAGACTTATACCAAAATATTGGATAATAAATATATTTACCATTTTTTCTGTTATCGAAGAATATATGAGGAATTCACAAAAATTCGCACCTTAACTGGAGCCAAATATGGTGATATGCAATTTGCTGCCGTACCCCACAGTAACAATTTTTTTCTGTAGGTTGATACCAAAAAACATGTTTTCAGGTGCGAGCCTAAAAAAAAGTGCAACTTTAATATTTTTATCAACAAAGAACTGATTTGTTCGCTAAGCTATTTCATTCTTCTAGCGATCTGCCTCGAAAAAACGAGTGAAAGAACTTCTATACTTGGAGTACACCTACATATCAGGTACCAATCGCTTTGTCTTGGTCTCCAAAAGGAACTTTGACCTTTTAAAGAGCCAAGAAACACCTGACAAAGCGTGGCAAGCGGTTATTGTCACAAAAATCGACGTTTTTTTTTTAATTTTTCGCGATTTTACCCGAAAATAGATTAAAAGATTACATCTATGGTTGGAGCACATATACATATTAGGTACCAATCACATGTCTGGGTCTATAGAATGAACTGTGACCCTTTAAAAAACCAAAAAAAGCTCAAAGCGTGGCAAACGGGTATTCAGTCCCTAAAATCGACGTTTTTTTCATTTTTCGCGAGATTTTATATCCGAAAATAAATTAAAAGAGACCTTGTATAGTGGAGCACACGTACATATTAGGTATCCAATCACTCGTCTTGATCCTCAGAATGACTTCTGACCCTTTGAAGAACCACGAAACACCTGTTTAAAAGCGTGGCAATGCGGTTAATTCAGTCCCTAAAACCGACGTTTTTTTTTTTCATTTTTTTTGCGATTTTATTCAAAAATAGATTCAAAGAGACCTGTATAGCATGGAGCACACGTACATATCAAGTCACCAGTTTCCGATAGGTAGAGAAACCTCACTTACGGAAGTCATTTTAACTTGATCCGTAATCTTTTCCGGTAAAATCGCGAAAAAATGAGAAAAACTCGATTTTAAGTGATGAGTAAACCGCCTACCACGCTTTGAGCAGGTATTTCTTGGTTCTTCAAAGGGTCAGAATCATTCTGAGGATCAAGACGAAACGTTAGTAATGTATGTGTGCTCCAACTATAGAGCATATTTTTAAGCTATTTTCGAATAAAATCGCAAAAAAAATGAAAAAAACGTCTATTTTAGGGACTGAATAACCATTTGCCACGCTTTGAGATTTTTTTTGTTTCATCAAAGGGTCATAGTTTATTCTGGGGACCAAGACGAAGCGATTGGTACCTAATATGTATGTGTGCTCCTTTCTATAGAGGGATCTTTTAATCTATTTTCGGGTAAAATCGCGAAAAAATGAAAAAAAAACGTCGATTTTAGTGACTGAATAACCGCTTGCCACGCTTTGATTGTGTGTTTCTTTACTCTTCAAAGGTCAGAATTTATGTGGGGATCAAGACGGAGCGATTGGTACCTAATATGTATGTGTACCCTCCAATTATAGAGGTATCTTTTAATCTATTTTCGTATAAAATTGCGAAAAAATGAAAAAAACGCGATTTTAGTGACTGAATAACCGCTTGCCACGCTTTGATCAGGTGTTTCTTGACCCGTCAAATGGTCAGAATTCATTCTGGGGATCAAGACGAAGCGACTGATACCTAATATGTATGTGTGCTAACAACTATAGAGGTATCTTTTAAAATATATTTTCGGATAAAATTGCGAAAAAGTGAAAAAAAACGTCGATTTTAGGGACTGAATAACCGTTTGCCACGCTTTGAGCAGGTCTTTCTTGGCTCTTCAAAGGGTCAGAGTTCCGTGTTTAGCCTAAGACAAAGCGATTGGTACCTGATATGTACGTCTGCTACAAGTATAGAAGTCTCTTTCACCTCGTTTTTCGAGGCAGATCGCTAGAAGAATGAAATAGCTTTAGCGAACAAATCAGTTTTTTGTTGGAAAAAACTTAAAGTTGCCTTTTTTTAGGCTCGCACCCGAAAACATGTTTTTTGGTATCAACCCACAGAAAAAAATTTTTACTGCGGAGTACGGGCAGCAAATTGCAATATGACCATATTTGGCTCCAGTTAAGGTGCGAATTTTTATAGAATTCCTCATATGAACTGTGTGTGCTGGAGTATCTCACAAAAATGTTCGTACGGATCGGAACGTTGCGAGCAATACTGATTGATGTTATTGATATAGTTCTTAAACACGCAGGTGTAAGGAGTGATAAACGTTTATAAATAAGCCAACGTAGTTGTCAACCTCACCTGCACGTAATGCATCTCGTTAGATAACTAAGGTAGCGTTGGCGACCGATTGATTGCATTGCCTGTATAAGCGATCCACACTGGTAGAGGAGTTAGCAAGTAATTGTCTTGGAGATCAAAAATCGCGTCCGAAGGCAGAGAAAGTAAGTCCCACTTATTAAGATATTAAAGGCAAGTAGTAAACCACCACAGTAAAGATTCACACATACCACATTGTATGGTAAAAGATGGCATCAAAAAATTTACTGATTATGAGAATCGGAGACCAAGATCCGGTAGGAAAGGAGACCGAGCTTTTCAAGTGGTCAACCAGCCAAAGTGCGGACAAAAGTCAATCAACTAAAGATAAAGAACAGGTACAAGAAACAATTTAGGTATCTCGGAGACCAACGTTGTTATAATATTTGTGTTCAGGGACACCAAAAATCTCCGAGTAAGGAGTTTGAATTTATGCAAAGAATTTCCATAAAACTCCAGGAGAAAAGTCCAGTTTGGGTACCAGGTGCTTCGAAGACCATCGCTGTATAATATACGTGTAAAATGGGAAACTTAACATCCTTTTTTACGGCTTAGCAGCTTATAAAGCCTACCTACAACTTCTGACTGAAACAAGGCCGCAATTCACGAATACCATTACAACATATTTAGTAAAATATGATGAAGACGATGAAATAACAGTACAGAATGTCAAAGATGTAACCAAAAATCAAAAACATCCTTAAGTAATGCGGATGAAGGTATATCGAACGAATTATTAAATTACAGGCCACAAGTAATACGGAAATTACTAGCGTATGTTTCCACCTTATTCTATAAAGAACATGACCTACCACACTAAATATTTGAGTGATTTAATGGTAGTTGTGTTTTTTATTAAGATATTTGCTTTGTATGTTGAATAACTTTACAGTTTATATAACACTAGAAAGACTACAAATTATTTTGTAAGTATAGATAGTAAATGATCTATTTTAGGCGTTTAATTATAAACTTCTTTCTAAAAGTGGTGAAGCTTGCAAACCAGCGGTAGTTACTTTTAACAATAAAACAAAATCGGGAGTAGATTCAGTGGACCAACTGAAGAGTCTTTATTCAGTGGCAAGAATCACATGTAGGTGGCCATTGACTGTATTTTTACTATGCTAAACATCGCTGGAATAAATGGAAACATTATATTTAGGACAAATGTATTAGATTCCTGCCAACCAAGACGTGAGTATCTGAAAATTATAGCCAGACAACTCATTACCCTACACATGCAAAAAAGAGAGGCCCAAAACTTGCCATTTCTGTTAACATTGCAAATTAAAAAATATCTGAATCTTCCTTTTATACAGAAACGAGGTGTTACTGAGGAAAATCAAGCAGGTGCAAGGCCAAAATGCTCCTATTACCCAAAAAAAATCGGAAAACAGCGTCAAAATGCTTCAAGTGTTTAAGAGCAATTTGTAATAGGGATGGTAAAAACCTACCGGTTTTATCCGAAAACCG